CCCCCCGGTGGCTCAGTTGCAAGTCTGCGAAGCATAACTTTACGTAACGTTATGCTTGACAATAAATAAACAATGATTGCTTGAATTTTTAGCTTGAACATAATTATCTGTTGCAAACGAGCTAACTGTCCATTAGTATTTGTGTTGTAATATATAGTAATATCATGGCAGTGAGGAGTTGGTATTCCTTAAATAATTTTATTTATGAGCATGGATTCGAATGTTGGAAAAGTATATGCTGTCTGAGATACAAGAAGATGATACTGTAACACTAGTTTAGGAACTTCCTTCATATATATATGTTTCTTATGGTTGGTTTATTTTTGAACTTATGTTTTACCACACCAGTTAATGGTGTACGAGGTTTTACGAGCTTGTTTTCTTGTTGGATAACTGAGCTAGCATGATCGCTTTGCCTTGATTATTTATCATAGTAGTGTCTGTGCAATTTTTTAAAGAATGCTTATGGTTTTAATTATTTCTGTGAATATACTTTGAAGTTAATAATATATATACGTAAGAATGGTTGGAGACGGCTTGAATGGGTAATGGAGAAAAACTTTAATATAAGTTTAACACAACTGCAAATGTACAACGTTTCGACAAGAAATATACGTAAGAACTAAAGTTGCTCTCCAACTGACCTAAAATAAAACATGTAGTATATATTTGTGTGTGTTTTCTTATAGCAAAGCCACATCGGGCTAACTGCTGTGTCCACCGAGGGAAATCGAACCCCTGATTTTAGCATTGTAAATCCGAAGACGTACCACTGTCCCTGCAGGGGACAACATATAGTATCAATACACCATTCCTGTTTGTTTTTTGTTGGTTTTTGTAAGCGGAGAGTTTCTCAGTAGGCTGTCTGTGCTCTGTCCATTGCGAGGAATCGAACTCCAGATTTTGCGGTGTAAATCAGTAATCATAAACCCACTTAGGAACGGTTTGGATAAATATGTGACGATGATGTAAATTATATAATCAGTATCAGATCAATCAATGAATAACAGATGAAAGTTTGAAATGTAAATTGTGTTTTTATTCGTTTTAATGTATATTTATAGACTTGCAACGCTAAACTCCATGGACAGAGCAGGTAGCCGAATGTGGCTTTGCTTTAAAACAAATAGTTTTTTGTACACATGGTCCTTTACTTCTGGAACTAAGGCTTGATTTTTCACAGAGCGATAATACAAAATGGAGTCAAGTATTTCTTTTATATTTACTTAATTAAAAAAAAACAATATTTTTAATCAAAACATTTTTCTGGTGATGAAAAATGGTGTCGCGAACCTTGAGATGCTTAGCGGATTTAAATTTTAATCAATGTATATGTTTTATGAGTAACGGCATCATTTTGTCCAACTTCTATTGATATTTTCGCTGCATGGCCATGATTTATAATATATTTGAATTATTACATATTATATTGTTCTTTAAGGAATGTCAGTGTAGGATAACGTATGCCCATTGTTTTCATATAATTCTGTCATTTTTGGCGATCACTTTTAGAACAAACGTTGTTGTTACTAGGTTATAGAAAATCGTGTATATACTTCATATTTGCTCCACTAAAGACTCGTGAATTTTACCACTTTCAGTTTCATACGCAGTCAACCTGACGTTAGGATTCACTGAACAACCATTCTCACAAGTTGTTGCCCAACGAAATCAGCCACTCCTGATTAACTGTTCTGGATTTTCGGATCCGGAGTTTGGGCCCGTAAGCATCAGTTGGCTGTATCAGGTAAGTTAGTAGCTATATTTGATTCGACTTTGGTATAATTTAGAATATAAATATATTAATTCTCATTTCTTAATTGGGCCTGGAGGATGGGCCTTTACATACTGTAAATGTCAATAATACCAACAAAAATAAACTCCTTTGTATATCAGGTGTACACATCACATGGCTCTATACATCTCTCGGACGTTAGATCCATGGTATAGATTTTAACATGCTACTTGGCCATATACCTTCTCTGGATATTAGATCCAGGATATAAACTTGAACACATTAGTCAGCTCTACACCTCCTCTGGATATTGGATCCAGGATATAAACTTGAACACATTAGTCACATGGCTCTGTATCTTCTCGGATGTCAGATGCCCTTGTACACCTCACTTGGTTCTATAGCTGGTATACTAGCCAGAAGTGACGAAATTGTTGTTTACAGCCCGGTTCGAGATATCACAACATAATCAATTAATTCTTTTAGTGGTGTCAAAACTTTTATATTTTCTTACTTATTTCTTTTGGATATTTCAGAAAGTATACTTTTAATTTATTATCGGTTTAACGAGTAAAATATCAGAGAACAAAAGTAAAACAGCATTGGTTATTTTTATCACTAGCTCATATCTAAAAATATGGTATATCCTCGGTTTACAGATGAGGGGTGGGTGGGAGTGGTATTTGGGTTCCATCTTTATCCTCCATATATCAATTCATGTTGTGTGTATGTTTGTTTTCCTGCGGACTCCTCACAGTTTGGGAGCGAGCAGAACCAAACTTGGCGTGCATATTCGGGGTGTCCTTATGCATGTGACGTACTCCCCTTCCCCTACCAAAACGAGGTAAAACTAGCCCGTAAGGTCACCTAGACATGATGGAGGTCTAAGAGTTGGTTTTCAGGGTCGCTGAACCCAAATCTGGCATCGAATTTTAACTTTCTAGCCTCCTCGAGTCTGGGGGCGCCATGTATGAAACTAAGTTCATCCCCCCCACCCCCATCTCAAAAGCTAGTTGGACCAAACTTGACACACGATCACAAGTACCAAGGACAGATGTCCTAACTTTTTTTCCGGGTAAGAACCCGTGCGGTGTAGCTGAAGAAGTAATTGGGGGTAATGGAGGAACTTGAAAAGAACAGCCAGGTTCTGATAAAAGGAAAATGCACATTTTATGTAATGAATTGGATCATTCTCTGTAGCTCTCTTTCAGTTTCTGCTCTTTTACGTTCATTTTTTGTTGTTGTTGTTGACCATAAACTGGTTACCTAAGTAGGAAAAAAAAAGTGTCAGTTTATTCATACATCTTGAACCGTTACTTGTGGTGAAAACTAAAAAAGTGCTTTGTTTATGTTCGAAATAGGGGAATGAGATTGACGAAAGCAGGCGGCAGGTGTTGAAAAATGGGTCTCTATATTTTGAGAGAGTTTTATACCAGAGAAGACCAGGCGGAAAGACAGATGAAGGAGAGTACACCTGTATGGTGCGGAACGACGTGGGTGCTATAGTCAGTACACCAGTCCGACTGATCGTAGCACGTAAGTGTATTATCCTAACTTATTAGAAAGTTCTACCTTCTTTGCTATAATCTGATTACTTGTGTCACGTGATTATTTTGTATTATTACTATATTGGTATAGAACTGTTATACGGTATTCCCGTCTGATCGATTCGCTACTTCGTCACGTGACAATGTTTCGTCTGAGCTCTTAGCGTACATATACATACCTATCGTTTGACGTCAAGAGTCACATGTAAACCTCGTTGCTTGCGGCAGTGTTAGCAACGTACGTTGTGGTTAGAAAAAGTAAAAGAATCGTGCCGTTTTGTGTTGTAAGCTGCACCAACTACTCTTAAAACAAAATCGGTATCGTTGTTTGTCAGTTTGGAATAAAAATTTACAGAAAAAGAGAATCTCACCAAATCCAAAATTTATTTGAAAAGAAAATGAAATTGCAATAAAAGTTTTAGACAAAACTTCACAAAAAAAAAACATTTTTTGTTAAATTCTATGACG